AACTAATTTTCCTTACTTCCTTGCATCTTCCTCCCCCATTTTTTCCAAGTGTAAAATTCTTCTCACCAGTTTGACCACCCTTTTGGCAAAAATGCATTTGTGCCAGTGCGTCAGGTGAATTATGCTTTTTTTCCTAGAAGCACTCAGTTTTCAAAAGGGCTTACATTGTCATAAATTTCAAATCCCTGTTGTCAAAATAAGCTTGTGATCAGTTTTTGACTCAGGATGCAACCATGCCTCCTCCAGCCCCTCCTAGCAGGATTACTAGCGGGATCAAAGAGAAAAACACTAGGGAGCCCAGGTTATCAGAACTCACTCCTAGAACCAGGTATGTTTACTTGATACTTTCAGAAATTCTCTTTAGAAAATCCACCTATGTTTTTAAAAATTCGCCTCTATTTCAAAAATGTTCTGCTGACTTAGGTGGCTGTATTAAAGCTGCCCTGAGAGACACATAAAATCTTCATTTCTCACAGACTGTCCAAGGCATCACGTGAGGGAAGGGATGAAGAAATTAATAAATAGAAGAATGATTTGACAGCTAGAACAGCACAAAAACAACAGCAGCAGGAGGCTACACATTAAGAATTAACTTAGAAATATTTTCAGTGTTCAGTTTCTGCAAAGAGTGTGTCATTCTAGCTAGAGCTGTACAAATGAAAAAGCTTTCCATGGCAAAAAGGGAGCAATAGCTGAGTAAATTCATTTTCACATTCTGCATGCTGCAATATTTGCATGAACAAGACAGTGAAATATTATTTTAGGCAGCAAATGAGAACCATCCCTCTGTAACCCTCCATTAAAATCAGATTTTTATTTTTTTCTCTCAGAAGACAGACAGCTCAATCAACCATTGCAGTTTAAACACAATCCACATTATGTCTCTACCTATGTAAGACGAATGTGGAAAAGGTGCTAAGGGCAGTAAGCATCTGTTATAAAAATGAGCTATATAAGCACACACATGTCATGCCATCAGCCAGGGAAAAAAAAAACACCTGAAGTACAACGGGTCTGATTATGTACCTCAAAACTTAGAGAAATTTTACTGACAATGAAAGGTGGTTCTGTTTAGATGGGATAGCATTTTATAGCTGCTCAATGAACTGTAAAGAAGCAAAGAAAAATGTATAAACTCATATTATTGAGAAGATACTTCAGAGAAGAAACCAAGAAATATTTAATCTTAAACACACAGTTGACCCTTAATTTTCTTTCCTTTTTTTTCTGGTGTGTGTTCTACCTCACTCCTCCCAAAAGATTGACACTTTCCGATTTCAGGACAAAAGCTGTAAAAGCAATCTGTCTTACTGAGCAGCTTTCATTTTCACAGTTAAATGTGGAATCTGTCTAATTTTAGACATTCAGGTGCTGGAATGTGCTCACAGCTCTTGTAATCATTGGGAAGAGATAAGTATTGTTAATGCCATTCACCAGATAACATAATAGACTTAATGAGTTCAAAAAAGAACCTTCAAACTTTCAGCCTTTTTTTCCACAGTAACTGAAGAGGAAATGTAGAGAATCAACACTGTTTAAGCCATGGGCTTTTAGCTAAATGTGGTTAAATTTCTCTTACTGTAAATGGCCAACTCTTTTTTGCATTCACGGAAATGTTAGAGCACAAGGACTTTGGATGTGAATGTGTGAGTGGCTCCTAGAGAGGATGCAGAAAACTCCAATCATTAGTTCTTGATTTTCTATTTATTCAAGTCCAGCCTTTAAAACCTGTCCAGCCTTTTTGCCTTTCCTTTTTCTAAACTACACTAATCTATGTAAATAAATGTGTTATGTTTCCTTTGACACCTATAAGCTCTGACAGAAGCAGATATATATATATTGGGGCAGTGTAAAGGATAGGGTTTTTTTCATGTACATATGTTATCATGCCAACTGAAATGTAAATTTCTGTAAGGGTGAAGGGCATTGTGAGCTAAATGGAAAACTCCCTCAAACTGTCCCTTTCCTTAAACTCAGAAGATGGTTATGCTTGGTTTCAGGTTTCTTTAATGTAAATGCTTATTCATAGTAACAGGACCAATCTCTATGAATTGCTCTTAAATCACAAAAGTATTAACCATTTCAAGACAAACATAGTTATATCCCATGCCTTAAATTATGTACAGGAATAATGTTCTACAAAGAACTAGTGCTTTCTAAGTTACTAAATGCAAAATTAATCCTGAAGATACTAGGCAGGGTCTTCAACCTATAGAAAATGATAAAGTTCCATTAAAGGAAACTAGGAGCAACAGTATTTTAGTTCTCTGAAGATATAATGCCATTTGTAATTTATCCCCATCACATAGATGTACCATGTTGAGTTGATATAATCACAGATATGTTCTTGTTGATTTCTATGGCAGTTTTGTGTATAAAACACTATTAAATGCAAGATTCTTCAATATTCTATTAGAAGGTAACCTACTAAACCCCTCACATTTAAAGTCTTCTTTATTCTTAATTCTGATGGGAATTATAATTCTTATAAGAATATTAATTTTGCCTTACTGCGATGCTTTGCTTAGACTAGGTGTAGATGATATCAGTAACTACTTTTTGGTAATCTGTTCTCAAGATCAGAGCATGAGTAATTAAAATAAAGGGCATCACACTGCAAGTGGCATACCTCCAACACAGACCACTAGAGATCTGCCCAGACAATGTCACTAGCCAAAAAGCAGTATGGCTAGAGCCTCAATGTAATGCAGGCTGATATATATTTTGTATATTGACAAACTATTATATATACCTTTAGCAATTAATCATACAATACAGCTTCAGTAAGAATTAATATATTTCTATGAAGATACACAGTAAGAAAAAGTAACACTCATTTTTAGTTTAAGTCAAATGAGGAAGCTTTTTATTGATTTATTAATGACATGTGATTACCCAGCACTCAGAAATTATACCTTCAGGATCAATAACAACAACAAAGCAGATGAAGCATAACACCTGACACTGGACAAATAACTCCAACAACTTTCTAATCACTCTTCTACAACTATTCTCAGGAAGCTCTAACTCTCTTCAATGTACATGTACAGAGCTACAAGCTCAACTTCCCTGTCCAGCCATATGGGTTGAGGTTTGGTGTCCCAGCTTTGTGTAACCTCCTTGTCCACACACCAGGGACTGTGGTTCCATGCATACTGCCCACACACTTCCAGAAAGACCACTGCTGCCTGCAGGCTTCTCCTGGAACCCCATGGGAGATTGTGCCACCCAGACTGGGCAGGGCAGGTGTGCCTTGGGGAAACTGCAATCAGGGGCCACCCCACTGCAATGGCTACTGCTTCTCTCACCACCTGTCCCCATTTTCACAGATGCATACACTCTCTCTATACATTTTTTCAAGATCAGTCTTTTTTGCAATTTTTTTTTTTTTTTTTTTTGTAATTTGCCTTCTTAGTTTAGTCCTACTGAAGATCATCTTCTTCAAGACTATCAGTTTTGGGCAAATGTCCTCTCTGAGAGTTTTGGCCATCCCTTATCTCATACTGTTTACATTTCCATTCTCTTTAAGGGCAGTTGTTATTCTGGCCATGTTATTGTAGAAGGCTATGTAGGGACCCCCTGCATTTCTTCTTCATACTTAATATCTCTTTCATATTTTTTTTCTCTCCTCTAATAAGTGTATTTCATAGTTTTTTACCTTAATAATTTTTGTTTCATATATGCTTATGGTATAATATTTTTCATTTTCCACACATACAGTTTTTACTTGTTTAAAATGTCGTGTTGTCAATAAATGTGCTGCATCCTCTCTGGTTTGCCATGTCTCAGAGATTGTTGCAGACAGATTTGAGAAAAGTAGATATATAGCTAAAGATGATGAATGATTCCCCATAACCAGTCTGGATCCAAAAGTATAAGATGGGATAAACCTATAGAAAAGGATACCTAAATATAAAGGGAATTTATTGAAACGTAAAGGAGTTGCACACTGTCAAGCTGTAGCAGCCAGAAATTTATTTGTGCTATAAGTTTCAAGCACATGGCTCCAACCTCTAAAACTTACAGGATGAAACTGTTGCCTATATTCCTATACACCTCCAATGGCACCTGTGTGCCATTTTCAAATCTGAAGACAAAAAATTCTTGCTTTATCTGATCCATGCATATACATTTTATGTATAAAAAGTTGCAATTTCTGACATAAATGTATCACCTGCATGTTTTCTGTTGCATTTTCTGGTCTCCCAATACCTTGCATTCATGTCATTTTAGTTCCATCAGTGAATTGTTTTTCTATGATGGTAAAATGTCACATTGACAGACTGACAGAATTATGGAGAGAAAGTATCCTGATGACTATTTAGACTTGCCTGCTGCTTAGTACAGGCTGTAGATTTGACTACAATAAGCTATTTATTGAGCTCTTTGCTTGTGTTTCAGATACAGCATATTTTAGAGAATTTCCAGTCTCGATTTGAAGAATCAAGAGGTCATTGCAGATTGCTGCCAAAAAACCCCATGAAACCAATAATCTTTTCTTCTCAAAACTTCCCTGCTACTTTTGTTTTATTGCCTACACAACATTCAAACAAATTTCCAGAATTTCTGTCATAAGTCTTTTTTACAAGAAAATATATCTTGGTAATTTTAGAAAAAGAAAATTAAAATTGTGTTTTGGCAGTTTCCCACATAGACTACAAGATGATGGTCGCTTGGAAAGAATGTAAAATTGAAAGGAGTGACAGAGGAAATTATGTCCAAATTCAAAGGCAAAGTCCTATATCCTAGAAAAGATCTACTGGGAATTACACGGTTTCTGCTACTCAGTCATGCAGCCATATACATATTCGATTCATGTGACATAATTAAACTCTCAGAGATTGTGATGATGACTGGACTCTGATTTGATCTGCAGTAAGTTAAATTAATTTTCCTCAAGTCCAGTCTGTTTTGTCCATGATGGTAATTGGTGAATGACCTCTACCTGTGCTTATCTCAACCCACAAGCCTTTCATTACATTTTTTTCTACCTGGTCTAGCTGAAGAGGAGGGTGATGGAATGACTTTGGTGAGAATCTGGTGTCCAGCAAGGGTCAACCCACCACAACATCTCCTCCAAAAACTGTTTTGGCAGTGCTGTAAGGTAAGTTGAAATGCTTTATAACAGACAGCTGTGTATTAATCCACTTAATTATTCACAGCACACGCAGAATTTTGGCAGACTGTATTCTACTAACTTTTACTAGATTTACATATTAAAATATTTTTATGTATGTGCAATGGTGTGTTAATTCTTGACTGTTAGGAGAGGCATTTGGTGCTGCAGGTAAAGTCTTTTGAGAGTCTTACACAGAGAACCAATTCTTGTAATTTTACAGAAACATTTGAAATAAAATATAAAATAAAGTACCTTTTCTGCAAATACTTATTAGGATGTGAATAATAACCAAAAAAATCATGCAGCGAGGGAAAAAACATCTTTCATAACACATATTTATATGACACATTTTCTTATTGTCTTGCTGAGCTGTAGTTGTCAGCAACAGTTCTGCTCTTGACAAAAATGGTTATGGCAATATTCCTAGTGGATTATTTGCCATGACGATTCATTGTCACCTTCTTTCCCTCCTTTTTTTGTGTCTGACAAACTGAAAATTTGAGAAAAATATGCTGAAGGACAAGTACAATCTAGGACTTACAACATGCAACTGCAAAAGCTGAAGTATCTGTTTCTTTTTTTGTGATGATGTTCAGATGGTTTCTCCTAATCCAGTCTGTGTGTTGATACCTTATGTTCAAACTTTGGCTAATAATATTTATCATTTTAATGGTTCACTATCAAACTGTAATTAGCCCATAGAGTTATGCATTTTTTGATAGAAGAAGCTGCTGGGGTATGAAACTTGGTTTAATGATATTAAATTATAGTTCAGCAGTTTACAATATAGTAAACTAGATGACTTAAAAAACCCTGACAAAAAAATATTAACCAAAACCTTGATTAATTTAAAATATCAAACTTGAGGCTTAACTTAATTCTTTACCTTTCTCTTTAAAACACTTGCATAGCTGGAACTTGTTACTTCCTAGGTATGATCTTTTAAATTGTAAAAGTCACAATTATAACTTGGTTTTCTCTCTGTAGTGGATATATAAAACTATGCACTCTGAAATGCAAAAGGACTTCTAAATAAAAACATTACTTTGGCTTTTAGAATGAATGTTCCAAAGTGATATTTGACCAATTGTCCACCCACTCATATCTTAGAGGGAGTACTGATTTTGTTCCTACAGTTCATACAGGGCTTACAGACTTATTCCTTTAAAAGATTAGAGTAATTACATTTTTAATTTTATCACCATCTTCAAATATGTATGGTGTCATTCATGGACTGCATTATTCTGCCTCTAGTTTGTCTATGGAAAACCAGTCAAGGCCTTGACTTAGCTCTGAGGAGATCCAGGTGTCATCACACTTATTTAGTTACTGTATGCTTACATGTTTCATACAAATTCAAGTCAGTACATTTTCTGAAAAGCTATTGATGATGTGTTTTTAAATTCAGATGTTGATGTTGTAATAAATCAATATCATATTTCAAGAAAGTTTTACTTTCCTCATCAAAGAAAGCACTACACTTGGACATATCTATATAAATCATACTCCACAGAATTTGATGACCTCATAAGTATATTTCAATGTCAGTGATTATGGGATTCCATGAAAGGGAAGATTCTGGAGTACCTAACTGATGAAAGCACTTTTGCTGATATGTACCAGGCAAGTGCAAGGAATAAAAGCAGCTACTGAGCTTGTTTTTGCCCATTAAAATATCCAAGCACCACAACATAGAGCAACTTTGCTCATGATCATTTCTGCAACCTTTGCTAAGGAACAAAACTTTCCCCCGCTTTTTATTTATACTTATATCCCTTTGTTTCAGTATAACTTCTTGACTGTGCATTATTACTACCATGTGCTCAATTTATGTCTGAAGCGTCCAGAAACAATGGTTCCACAAATCAAGCTTAAGCAGGCTCCGTCTCTGGCTGCTGTTCTACTCCAATACATTCCAAGTGATTAACACCACCTGTGGCACTCCTAATTCACAGCAGCAGACAATTATATCCCTTGGATACCCATTACGGGTAATTATTCCCATGACAGACTATTAGATATGGGCTGTGAACATTTCAGCTGTAAAGTTTTTTGCAATTTTATTTTAATTCTGATATTACCATTGAGAGGTATATTTGGGGAACAAATCAGTGTTACATTAGCGGTATGCTTGCAACAAGCAAAAGATTAATTTTTATTGCTGGAGTTGTAGTCAGATTTATTATTTAAATATGTGATTAAGGGAGATTTTACATGTTTGCCATTACAAGATTATTTTATTTCATTCTTTTAGTACAGAGGTAATAGCAGATCCTGCTGATGAGGTGACACTAGAGACAAAAATTAATTGTTTTGTTTTAAAGACTTTACTCATCTAACATTCCTTTTTCTTTTTTTTCTTCTGAATATATAAGTTTGATCTCTTTTAAGTATGTAGGGGAATTCTCAGTGTAAAAAAAAGGTCAAAATTCATAAAACTTTCCTGGTGCTGTAGCATTAAATTTAAAGGTGGTTTTTAATGAAATAAGAGGCTTACACTCAATCAATATCAAAATCATAATCTCTTTGATCTCCTATCATGTAAAATATGTTATTTATGTTGAAAATAAATGCACTCTGAATCTGAATTAAGAATTTAGTTTCAGACTGAAGTGTACAGAAATCAATGGCAATAGTATAATAAATTAAAATTTGAATTATTTAAAAGATGTTTCTTTGTAGATTCATTTTCAAGATGTCCATTTAGAAGACCATTAATATTGGCTTAAAAAAGAGAAGGGTAGTAAAGAACAAATAAATTTGCATGCTTATTTTACTAAAAGTGGAACAAAATATTGTTTTCAATATAAGAGATCAAAAAAAAAATAGAATTAAGAGGAGAAATGTTTATACATGATGTGAATGCATGTCATAGTTTCATTAATAGGCCTGAGTTCACATTGGATTTCCTGTATTAACTTAGACTCTTTGATAAACATGAAGAGCTTTCTGTGATACTCCTATCAGGATCCTCCCTCCAACCCCAGGCATTTATTGATTAAGTAAAAACATTAGCTATTAATCATGTTTGATCCTAAGTTGGAGACCAATGAATAGACTAGGCAGCTTATAAGTGCTCCATGCTTCTTTCACATGATTTATTAAGCTTTTAAAATCCTGGTGGCATTTCACAAGTGCTGTTGAACTGGCCAATATGATAGGTGAGCTACAGCTGCCCTTAGACAAGCTCAGGCTTAGGCTCTGCTAAAACCTACCTGACTTTGTAATATGAAAGAGAGGTTATGTTTACATCATTCAGAAGAAACAGAACAACCCCATCCTCGTTACTGTGGACTAAATGGCATGACAAATGGCACCTGACTCTTTTGCACCTACAGTCTGACTTGATCACCATTTGTCACGTGCCAGTGGATCTCTGAGAGACACGGAAGTGACAGAAGTAAATAGGATTTATACAGAGTCTGTGTGCACTATAGCTTTGTACTGTGTATCAAACAGTGTGGAAATCTGCATCAAAGCTATGACATCTTACAGCCAATGGTGTGGGCATGAATAGCTCACACGAAAAGTTCTACCTGACATGATAGTCTTCAGTCAGCAGAAACACAGCATAGCTTCCTTAATGTCTAACTGGTATCATGCCATAAATTCAGAGTTGGAAACAGCATTACTTTGAACCTCTGTAACTATTTCTCAGTTCCTCCAAGCAAAACTTAATTCCTTATCCTCCTTTGACAGATAAAATAGGTGATGGAAAATATTTATGAAGTTATCTCTTATGGCTGAGGCCTACCCTAAGGTAACTCTCAGGTCAGATGAATTTTTTTGTATAACAAATCAACACCGAATTTCATGGGGCAGATTTCCCCCAGGAATTCACAGTAACTATAAAAGTCTGAAAATAAATCAAAAGACAATGTATAAAACATGTAGATGTTTAGATGTTCGAAGTTGATGGTTCAGTACAGTTCTTTATAGAAATAAAAGCATATTTCCAGGAAGTCAGTGAGAGAGTTTTATCTAAGTATCTTCCATTAACTGAGCTCCTGTCTGTATTTACTGAAATGAATATGATAACTAAGAAACACTGCAGTATCTAAGCCAGAAATCAAACATATTTAAGAGAAGTAGTAATTAAGGATATTTGCTGCTAACATATATAATTTTTTTCCACATTGAAGGACTACAAGCAGTAGTTAGCAAGACTGTGAAACAGCTTTTGAAAATATGAACACATGCATACTCAATATACATAGCAAATGTGAATGATTTCAGTTGAAAACTAGTTTATTCTGATCATGTCCAATGAGAACACATCAATTCAAGTGAACAACTAAAACCAGCTAATTCTTCAAATGCTGAAATTCCTGAGGCTCCTGAAAAAGCAGGATTATTTTACTATGCATTAAAAGGTGTAAAAATCAAGATGATACTATACCCTTGATATTACTTCAAGAAGTACACATCACATACCTAAGTTCTATCAATAAAATTCCATGAAAAAGCTCACACTGTGGGGAAAGAAGAGGTAAGGGAAAAGAGAGGGATAAGAAAAAAGCTCCACACCCTTTTTAGTAGAAGTTGCTTGTAACAACTTGATTTTATAAGCCAGGTTTCACACTTTAAATGTGAAAGACTTTGATGAGTTTGTGATAGAGACAAAGCAAAACCCTTTTTTCTTTGGCCAGATATAAAACTTTAATATTTCTCATAGAAGTCAGTTAGACACAGAGCAAGGGTTTGGACACTGGTACTCTACAGACTGCTCTTGCTTTTCTCACTTCATCCATCACAGGTCAATTGCTAAGTCCTGGCAGCTTATAAGAGCACATCAGGTGTGGAAAGCATTTGCAGAATACTTAATGACCACATGCTAAAGATTTTAAAGTTCAATAGCACCATCAGAACAGTCTTCTGGGGAGTCGTCTGAGAGTTATCTGGAAATGAACATTAAACTCCAAGGACACTTTCTTATACATGCATATCAAAGGTAGTAGAAAAGGCTCGATGTTTACTGCTGACAAACTGATAGGCAGTGCAGAGCTTCACCAGTGTTGCTAAGTGTCAAAACCTATATCTAAATAAAAAAAAAAATAAGGAAAGGAAAGAAAGAAAGAAAGAAAGAAAGAAAGAAAGAAAGAAAGAAAGAAAGAAAGAAAGAAAGAAAGAAAGAAAGAAAGAAAGAAAGAAAGAAAGAACTTGATCTGTTAATGAGAGACTGGATTGCTGGAAACCCACACTCATCTTTATTGTATTGAACAATATATTGCTTTTTTCTTTGTGGTGTAGTTCATTTAAGTAGATAGCTTTTTTATTTTCCCTGGAAAGTTGCATTTTTAAGCAATGAAAAAACTTGTGATGCATGTGTTAAATATCTTCAGAGTTGTTAGAAACAGTGCAGACTCCTTTTCCCACTCCTTATTCTATTACTGATAAAAGGTCTTTTAAACTTCAGCTCCATTCTGACTCTGTTTATAAGAGAAATAACCAATGCAATCTGTCAGTCATTTTCTTCATAGGTTGAAATTCCTCTCTATTATGAGCAGCATATCTGAAAAGAGCCCTGCAGAGAGTATTTCTTTAATGTCTGTAACTAAGAAGGCACTGTCTAGTAAGTTGGAACTGATGTTATTGTCATTTTTTTTTATGTTTAGACCACTGAGTCCACCAAAGCAAGTTCTACTACTGCAGCAGTAAAGAACTGAAGAGATATTTGCATATTTCAAAACTTTCAAAAAGACTTGGCTTTACTAACACTAAAAATATTTTTAATAGCTCTATTTTTTGAATGTAATGGTAAAATGAAATTTCTAAACTTGAAAAATTAGAAAACAAATAACAGTTATATTTATATTAAAAGAAACTTGTAATTTTAAACATTTGTCTTTTCAAGAAAGGTAGTTGGCTTAAAGCACAGTTTTTACTTTTGACTACTAACTTCTTCATTCAAAATAACATTTTAGTATTTTCAGAATTCATGTTTCTACTTATGACATATCCCTTTTCAATTTTCCAATTTACTAAACTATGAAATGGTATTTGAATGTGAATTGTGATACATATATTAAAAAGGAAATAACATTTACTGTAATTCTATCTTGAAAAATGTCTATTTCACATTAAACTTCAGAAGATTCCACTGAAAAGCCTACTTCAAATGTTTCAGATGACAAAACCTAATTTTTTAATAACTTTCAAGCTTGCAAAACATTTATAACAGTTCCAATAAAGTAAAATATTTTTTTAAATCTATTTTGCAATTTTTTTTATCCTCACAACTGTGCTACATATTGTTCTTCCTTGTGTCCTGTAAAATAAAAGAAGTGGCATCTGACCACCAGAAGATGAAAGTTGGGAAATCCTGCAAGGGGGTCTCATGTATCATCCAAAAGTTTCAGTATTGCACATTTTGAATTTCAATAAACTTTATATCTGTTGATTGCTTTTGGGGACCACAATCCAATGTTTCACAGTTTTCAGTAGAAGACTGGATTAGAAAACAGTGACAACTTCCTGTTAAATATTTAGAAGTCTTTTACAACCTAGCAGATTTGACAGAATCTTCTGCCCTATATTTATTTTCTCCTGCTTGATTTCATCACATCTTCTTTTAGTACAAGAAGCTTTTGTTCCTACTTAGTATTCAAGTACTGGTTTGATTGTAATAGAGTTTTTTGTATATAAATTAAAGAGTAAATTAAGGAAATTTCTCTGTAGACCTTGTGGTTGACACTAAAACAGAAGAGCAAGCCTTTATAAATTGTTACAAAGAAGAGTCTAAAAGTGAAATGGACTTTTATAACGTTGTCAGTGTGAAAGGTGCTGAATAAAAGATATTATAGAACGCATCTGAAACATGATCCATAATATTTGTGTCAGATTTTTGTCCTTTGAACCATTGCATTGTACAACTCTGTACAAACTAATTTTGTTTAAAGGAATAATGTGGAGATTGCAGGTGCCAAAGTCATAGACTGGGAAAGCGTTAGTCAAAGTTACAGACTGGGAAGTTACAGACATAATTCTATAACTGCTAGGAAATTGCATTGGCAACATCAGCAAGAGCCTGTAGAGTCTGATGGATCCAAGAGATTAGCATCTGCTCCTGCTACTCTACACAGGTTTAAATGCTGCTACACTGAGACAACTTAGAACCATCAAAACACACTATATATACCCTCGAAGAATATTAAAAGGATATAGAGCAAATAGCATAGGATCACAGACTAATAGAATGGCTTGAGCTGGGAGAGATCTTTGAGATCATCTCATTCCAACCTGCCTTCCATGGGCAGGGACACTTTTCATTAGACTAGGTTGCCCTGAGCTCCATCCAGCCTGGCCTCGATCATTCACAGGGATGGGGAACCCACAGCTTCTCTGGGAAAGTTGTTCCAATGCCTCACCATCCTCATATAAATGATTTTTTCTTAATATCTAATATAAACCTACTCTCTTTCAGTTTGAAGCCATTTCCCTTGTCCTATCCCTACATGTCCTTGAAAAAGTCCCTCTAATTATCTTGTAGGCTTCTTTTGGGTACTGCAAGGCTGCAATAACCTCACCCCTGAGCTGTATCTTCTCCAGGATGAACAACCCCAACTCTCTCAGCCTATCTTCATGGGATAGCTGCTCCATCCATCTAATAATCTTGCTGACCTCCCCTGGACTCGCTTCAACAGATCAATCTCCTTCATTTGCTGCAGAGCTGATGCAGCCCTGCAGGTGGGGTCTCAGCAGAGCAGAGGGACAGAATTCCCTCCTTCCCCTGCTGCCCACGCTGCTCTGGATGCAGCCCAGGACACGTTTGGCTCTCTGGGCTGTGAGTGCCCATGGCTGGGTCATGTTCAGCCTCTCAGCCAGCAGCACCCCCAAGCCCTTCTCAGCAGAGCTAATCTCAGTATGTACAGCCTGTGTTGATATAGAGGATTGCTGTGATCCAGGTGCAGCACCTTGCACTCTGTCTAGTTAAACCTCATGAGATTCCCATGGGCCCGTTTCTCCAGCTAGTCCTGGTTGCTTTGGATGGAAACCAAGGACCTCCTTCAATCTGGAATTGAACCAGAGACTTAGGGATTCCTGCCGGCTATACTTCTACCATCTGCTCTACCAGCTGAGCTTTTGAAGGAAGACATAGATGGATGATTACATACCTCTCCTATGTACCTTGGCAGAAATATTCTGTAACATGATTTTTCAATCCTAGACCAACCTGTCAGAGATGGTCCTTTCAATTAGAGCTTTCCATAAAATATCTTTTACTCTCTGTATAGTTCCTGTGACAATATTATGTTTATCCTAAGAGACAGAGAAAGCTTCTGCTTTCCAATAAACATGTCCATACAATTACTTTTTAATTTGTTTTGTAAAAAAATTTAATGAAGCAGAATTGCCTACATAATCTTAGTTAATTGACTTTATGTGTGTCCGCCTGTGTATGAGTATGTGTGAATGTGTGCTGATGTTTGTTAAAGAAGGTAAATGTTTAAAACTCACTTTTATTATTGTTATATCAACTAATTCTATCCCATTCTACTTCACATTCTTTTTAATTTTATCTTCAAATGTCCATTTTTGAATTCCCCATTGCATGTCTGTTTACTGAACCATTTTTTATGACTGTACATTTGCCTCAGTAAGAGCCAAGCTCATACTTTGAATCACAGTTAAAGTTCAAATATAAAACCATAATACCAGAACACCTTAATCAACAATAAAATATGCTAAAAACCACCATATGTTCTCAAAGCAGATTTTAAATCAGAAAATCAATTAAAAAAATTAAAGACATTGTATAAAAAAGTGCTTTAATGTAAGAAAAAAATTTTCTCTATTTCATTCTGTTGACTCTTTGCTATGTCCTTGGAGTATCTAACATCCATTCCTCAAGACTTACCTGTTTCTTTTTAAAAAGGCTTACTTCTTGAGTTTTGAATTAATGATTTATGTGTTTTTTCAGTTTTAGGTAAAAAAAAAAAAAAAAAAAAAAGCTATGTGTTTATAAGATATGAAATACTAGCAGTAAAAGCCACCTTGGATCCACTATCTGGAATATACAGGCATGCAAGGGTCTTTCATAAATTACTGATGATATCTTAATTCCTTATCAAGGGCTATGGGGAGAGTCTCCTGGAACATAGTAAAACACACCCCTGGAACATACTAAAATCTGCATTTTGAAACTATTGCCCATCAAGGAAATCTTCCTGCTAAGTGACATGATTTTTTTTTTTTTTTTTTTTTTTTTTTTTTTTTTTTTTTTTTTTTTTTTTTTTTTGGTGCAAATTCACTTTTAAGCTACTGTGTCTCTGGTAGTTTGTGATGTTAGAATCATATTATTGCAGTAAATTGGCTAAATTGATTGTCTAGCTTTGATTTTTAGGCAGATTTCTTTATTGTCAGGAAATCCTTTCCACTAATAGAACTTAAAAAACCTCAGTTCTTTAACTTAGAAGGTAATAAAGAACATTGTTGCAATTTGAATAACATAGTTCCCTGCTCCAAAGTTTTAGTGCGATGTCTTGGGATTTAGCTTGAACTTTCAGAGATGCATTGTTGCCTTGTTCTTGTAGTTGAGGTTGTATTTTCCTATTTAATGGAGTGTTGCAAGGAGATAAATAAACTTAATATTATGAGGCTTCTTTACAACTTTTTTTTTTTTTTCCTAATATAGTAACAGCTCCCTAAAATGCATGCAATGTTTCATGCAAAGGATGTTATTAAGTGGAAGCCCAAATATGAAGTCTGAATAAAAGGAAAGTAATATCCCCAAATCAGGAAATCATGGAGAAAAATATTTGAGAGCACCAGGACAGAGAATTTTTGATTCATCTGTACTTAGAGATAAAAGAAACTGCAATGACTGGTCAGCTCATTTTCAAGTCAGGATGGAAATTCCAGAGAATTTAGAAGTTCATTATATGCACCCTGACTCCCAGTGAAAGCAAAAGGAATAATTTTAGCAAGTTTTTCTATATACCTAGGCAATCCTTTTATTAGTGGAAAGATATATTTTTCCTGTAGTATTTCTGATGCTGTCATTGTTCAAACCCAGTT